CTACCTGACACGCGCTTTGATCTACCTGACACGCGCTTTGATCTACTTGACACGCTCTTCGATCTACCTGACACGCGCTTTGATCTACCCGACACGCGCTTTGATCTACCTGACCCGCGCTTTGATCTACCGACTCGCACTTTGATCTACCTGACCTGCGCTTTCATCTACCTGACTCGCGCTTTGATCTACCTGACACGCGCTTTGATTTACCTGATACGCGCTTTGATCTACCTGACACGCGCTTTGATCTACCTGATACGCGCTTTGATACACATTCTATTTTTGGTGTGTCATTAACTGTGTTATTATTACAATTAGTGTATATTCAGATACTACTGACATTGCCTGAAACTTCTGATTCTGATCATATTATGAAGTTACCAAGAAAGTTATGCACCAAGGCAATACGGTGATCGTATACATCTTTGTTTCTGCTTGTAGCAATTATTTATTGAGAAATTATCGGCCGTAATGACAACGAAACACGTGTTGCGCTGTGGGAACGTTTGCTTGCGTGACGGGCTCTATTTTTAACACGCGCTATAGCACTTCTGCATCCAATGTAAACAAAGCAAGGCATTTGAAATGTGAAGTCATTAACCTCCGTGGCGGCGGTACAGGGGGCAGAGGGGCGGTTACCCCCGCGAATAAAATGTTGAGAAGCGTCGCCCCTCCAAAATCAAGCTGAAACCTTTTGTGTCACACAATTTGCCACTCAAAAATGCAGGAAATAGCGTTTCAGAGGGTCTATATTTCAACATTTTTTAGGTGTAGCATGCCCCGAACCCTCTGGTAAGGTCGCGCCCCTCATGCAAAATTTCGTGCCGCGCCTCTGAACCTGGAGTGCGTCAATGTTCATTACAAAGAAATATTCAAATGAGTACCGATACGTTTTAGAACGAGTGTTGATACGATCCGTTACGGAATGGCAAATTCTACTTGTTTTCTGTGTAGATGTATAATATGAGGTTATTAAGAGGATACCTTAAAGTATGCACGAAGACGTACAGTACAGCGGCAGTATGAGGTCTATGCAACGACGTACTGTCTCCGTGCATACTTAGAGGTATCATAGTAATGACCACATTATTATACATCTTTTTCTTCCAAGGATACATCATGGGAATGCCGAAACCCAAAAAGTTTAGAGCAGAATCAGTGAACTTCTTTGTGTGGAGTCCGGTCAAACCCTGGTGGCAGCCATGTTTGTTTATATTATTAGAGGACGCTTACGCGCGTAATCATCCCTTATTTGGAATTCTCATTTCCTTATATGGTAG